TACAGGAGTTGGTGATGTACCCCTGGGTTGGTGACTGCGGGCCCCAGCTGCTCCAGGTTCCGGATGAGGCTGCTGTAGGCCTGCACATTGGCGTGTTGGATCAGCTTAGCCAGGTTCTCTTCACTTACGCCTGGGAGGGGAGGGGCGCCAGGAGGTGGCCTGGTGAGGCTCTCATTAGATAAGCAGGTGGGGTGGGGAGAGCGCCCCAGGACTCGTAAAGGCCCTGGAATTAGGACCAGGTGCTCTGTGTCCCTAGAACTGGGCAGCCCTCGAGGGTCAACGGTGCCCCCGTGATGAGTTGAGGCCCCTCTCCTCCCAGCCCCTGGGGGCAGGAACGTGGGGGCTCCTCCCTAAGGGAGCGTACTTTGTGACCACGAGGTGGGCACAGTGACCGGAGAGAGACCGTGGGATCTGACAGTGGGGAGCCGCGGGGGCTGCTGAGACATGCAAGTCTGTGGCGTCCGGGGCTCCCTGCCCACACCCACACCCACCATTCCGCAGAAGGATGTACAGCAGCAGGACCCGGATCTTGTCATAAGGCGGTACTGCGGCGTCCAGCAGCACTGGGACAATCAGCTTCATGGCGTCCTTGATCTTCTCACCCTCTGCGTCAGAGCCCATTGCCAAGTCCTGCGGGGCAACAGAGACCAGTTGGCCATGGGGGAAGACATGGGTGGATGGGAGGCAGCACGATGGCGCCATGCACAAGGTCCTCAGCAAAACCTTTGGCTTTGGAGGCCGGAGAGATAAAGCTACTGCCTGCCAAGAGCAAGGATCTGAGTTCAATTCCCAGTACCTTCCCACAGGGGCGGGGAGGAGGAGGGGAACCTTTGGGTTTGTGCTCCACTTTGTGCAACAGGTCCCCCAATGCCCTGCCCAATTGAGGCAAAGCCCCACCCTCAAGGGGCTGGGTTTCTCCCCAAGGCCCCGCCCACTCAGGCTCCATCCCTCCCAAGGCCTTGCTCCACAAGCCCCGCCCCAAGCCCCCTCTCCCCCACTTGCTGAGGCCCCGCCCTTTTGTCCCTGCCCCACCTGCTCCACGCTGCACAGCTTCTCCACTGAACCCTTGAAGTGCTTCATGCAGTCATCAGCTAAATGCAGGTGTGTGGAATACTGCAAAGGTGGGGATCAACGGAAGACAGCATAGCATGAGGGACAAGGAGGGAGAAGAGGGTCTCAGGCCCCAGGCATTGTGGGGTCCAAGGCCTCTCCAGCCTGGGCTCACCTTGTTCAGCTCCTTCTGGTACTGTGGCATCTTTTTCAGGATGTGGGACAGGTCTTTAATGTTGGCCTGTGGAGGTGGGGCAGGGGTGAGGCCAGGGACCCACAGGGTTGGGGCTACAGCCTCACCCCCTGGGGGTGACCCCGTGAGGCTGGCGGGCTCCTACCTTGTCTGTAGTCATCCTCTTGCTCTCACAGAAGGTCTTTAGAAGCTCCGTGACCCTCCTAGGCACGTGGGAGGGCAGGGTGAGGTGGGGCAAGGGCCAGGTGGATGGGGTATGGCTTGAGGGTAGAGCCCGGGAGAGGGGTGTGGTTTGTGGTGGGAGGGGCTTGTGGGAGGAGTCTCTGTGGGCGTGGCTTTAGAGGGGGGACGCTCCTGAGGACCCAAGGCCCAGTACCAGGCCCACCTGAGTGAAGGGATACCCCACCAGGGCCCACTTGCGCTTGTACTTGGAAACGTCGGCGATGTGCATGTGCCGAAGCTCCACCCAGAGCTCGTCGTCCTCATCCAACAGCACGGCCTTCTCCCGCGCCTCGCTCAGCCCAGTGGTCTCGAACCTGCAGAGGTGAGCCAGGGAGGGGATGCGAGGGCCAGGGACTCAGCACAGGGCCGCGGCAGCGGGAAGCTGAGCTTGCGCCCACCCACCTGTATGTGTCCTGTTCAATGTCCAGCAGGTCGTAGGCCATGGCCTGGAAAGTGAGCTCATGCAGCAGCGGGGACACGGGGTCGGCTGCCCGGTCCATAATCAACAACTGAGAGCGGGTTTTCTCAGGACCCTGTACGGGGGCAGGTGGCAGCCAGGATGAGGGCCTGACCCAAAGCCTGCCCCTGTGTGGCTCACCCCCCCCCCCAGCCCCCTCACCTCGCCCAGACTGGGACTGTCTGCCTTGAAGGCGTTCAGCTTGGCCAGGACGGCGTGGGCCAGCTGGGCCGTGTCCTCTGGACCCCTGGAGGTAGCAGACGGGGGCATCAGGAGACACGGGGTCCTGAGAGGATGGGCACACACTAGGGTGGAGGGTAGGAGTCAGGCTGCGAGGGGGTGGGGGTCGGTGCCAGCAGGGAAGTTAGAGGCCGGATGCGGGATGAAGTCAAGGTCAGAGGGCAGCACTGGGGCAGGGCTAGGCTGGGTCCCCACTTGCGGTAGCGGATGGCCGGGTACTCCTGCAGCGTGGCACACAGTGTGGCAATCTGCTGGGCCAGCGTCTCGAGTTGCCGCATCCGCTCCCCTGCCCGGAAGGGGCAGTAGAGATTGTAGGTGCTGTGGGGGGCGTCCAGGGAAAACACCTGGGGGACAGAAGTGCAGGGCCACCAGTGTAGGTGCACACCTGACACCTGACACCGCGCCCCTCCCCAGGACAAGCCAAGGCTGCACCTGGGCCTCATAGGGGAGGAAGGCGAGGTGGATCTCCTTCAGCGTCTTCACCACCTTGGCCAGGCGAGAGCGGCCCAGCTCATTGAACAGGGGCTCAGGGCAGGCTGTGGCAGGCAGAAGGGGCCATCAGACCCCAGTTACCTCCATATCCCTTCCCCCAGCCACCCAAGCCCCCAACTCTTCTCACTCACTGTCAGTGAAGAAGACATGCGCTGCTTTGTAGGTAAAGGTTGGGGTCCCCCGGAAGTCTGCAATCAGGGCCTGAACCGACTGGGGAGTGCGAGTCACTCTTCAGGTCTGACCTGCACCCTTAGACCCATCATGCTGGCTGCTTCCCACCCCACACCACTTATAAACGTGCCCAGAGGGCCACACACATGCATGCACACGCATGCTCCCTGTGTGCCATGTGCGCGCGCGCACACACACACACACATTCACAGGCTCACACATGTAACCACCTTCTGCGTGGGGCTCAGCAAATAAATGGCCTCCAGGCTGGGGATAGGTTCTCGCCGTTTGTTGATGTCTTCAACAACTATAAGCGGCAGAGGAAGGGGCAGGTGTGGGGGTTATGGGTGGCAGGGGGATGGTGACAGGGGCATCTCAGGTTAGGGTGGGGAGAAATGGATGCCCGGGGTAAGGAGCTGATACTTGGGAGCTGCGCATCTAGAAGGCACTCACTAAGGCCACAGTCAGGGGCGGAACACTGGGGCTCACCCTTAAGGGCCACACCCCTGGGGTCCCCACTCGGGTTCTGTCTACAGAGCATCCACTCACTGGTGATACCCTCAGCCAGGATGTCCGACATTTTGCAGCAGGATGACAAGATACGCATGCTCGGGTGGTCCATAATGAGCACCTGTCCGGATGGTGGAGGGACAGGCAGATGGACCCATGGTCACACACACAGTCGGAAGAGACCAGAGCTGCCCCAGGAGGAGTGGCAGGAGCATGGGCAGGGGCCATGGATGAAACTAAGTTTCAAGGGATAGGTGGGCAAGTGGACCCAGGAGCTGCCCTGTGGATGCCACCCCAGTGGACCAACAGCCTTCCCAGGAAACCCCTGGGGGCCCCACAGGCAGGGTCTCCCTACCAAGTGGGTGTGGACTGGGCAGCCAGGCTTTCTGCCTGCCTCACCCCTACCTTCCATTCGCCATCCTTTTTGACACTGCGAATGACTCCACTCAGGATTTCTGTAGGGAAGAGTGGGGAGGGCACCGGTGCCAGTCCTCTGGTCCTCCCTCCGAGGGCTGGACTCCCGTGCGAATCCCCTCCAATCCCCCAATCCCGAGAGGTAGCTCCTGACATCACCCCAATTTACAGACAAGGAAACTGAAGATTTGAAGGGTCAACGGGCGTGATTATGCGCTCTCAGTGCCCAAGTGGCACGGAGCTCGGGGCATAAGGAGCCACTTAATAACTATGTTCAAGGTGCACTAGGGCGGAGAGGCAGGCCTGTTTGCACTGTCCCCCAGCTGCTATGCCTCCACTTTTCTGCTATGGGGCTTTCAGCCCAACCTCACTCCATCTCCACCAGTCCCTTGAGACTCAATGCAGGTCCCTGGTCATCCTAGCAAGTTTCTGTGCCTCAGTTTCCTCATCCATAAAGTGGGATCATGGTTATGCCCCCCACCTGCCGCCTATTATCCTCTCTGTAGTGAGCTCCTTATAGAGTTGGGAGTGCTGCCCTGAGGAAGGAGCTAGGAGAAGGGACGGGGTGGCTTCAAAAAGGCTCGCCGGCGTCCTGTCCACTGTTATCAGGACTGCAGAGGCGGAAGACACTTTGAGGCCGGAACCACTGGAGTGGGGGAGGGGCGTCCTCACCCCTCATCCCCAAACCTGGGCCCTGGACCCTCCCGCTGCAAAGGACTGGAGGAAGTCCTGAGGGAAGGTGCTCCCCACATCACTCTCGTGGGGCCTGGACACGACCCCCTAAACCACCTGCAATCGCTGACTGTGGGGCCCCTAGGTCCGGCCCCGAACTTTGCCCGACTCACAGAGACCCGGGAGCTGCGGAGGCAGTGGAGGGGATCCACCTGTGCCCCTGTCCTGTAAGCACCCTGGGAGTCTGGGCTCCGGTCTACGCCGCCCCGATCCACCCCTTTGGGTCCCCATTGGGTCCCCAGCGCCCAGTGTCCCAACTTTGTTCGGGCGCCCAGCTGGGACCTGGCCCCTGGCCGCCCCCTCGAGGACCCAGACCCCAGCTCCCCGCCACCGGAGCCCTGAACTTCCACAGTTCCGGCGCACCCCGCACCCTAACCCCCCTGGGGATCCGAAGCCCCGCCCCAGAGGGACACTCACTTTCCCCCACTACCGCCTTCAGCCCCAAGGGCGCCATCTTCCCCTAGGAGCGTCTCCGACGCTTCCGGGTCTGTCCCAAGGTGGGGGCGTGGCCACGCGAGTCCTCCACGTTGGCCCCGCCCATGCTCCGCCCCCTGCGCACCTGGCCCCGCCCCGCCGGTTGCGGTGCAGCGAAGGTCGGGTCCCGCTCTGGGCGGGCGGTGGAGGTCTCCGCCAGGGACTGAGACCCGCTTGCCTCTGTACCCTGAAAGTTTAGCAGAAGAAGAACCAGCAGGCTTGAACCACACTGACCAACTCTAAGCCGCAGTAGAGCTGGGTATGGTGGTGCAAGGCTGCAATCCCAGCTTCTCAGGGGGCTGAGGCAGGAAGATTGCGAGGCCAGTCTGAGCAACTTGGTGAGACTCTGTCTCAAAATTAAATTCAAAAAGGTTTAGGACTTGCCGTTGTAGCTCAATGGCTTGCCTAGCATGAATCCAATCCCCAACACTGAAAAAAAAAAGACACACTTGACCCAGAATTTCAGGGTTTGCTCCCCAGTTTCTCTCAGCAAAGGGGTGGGCCAGTGCCCCGTCACAGGGAAGGTAGTTTCAGCAGAAGTCGACCGGGGGCTTAGCTCTAATAGGTGTGAATGCAGAGAAGTCTGCCTGTCTGCACTGGTTCCTTCACTTGACTGCGCTTACCAATGATTTTCCAGGGCTGGGATCGTAGCTCAACGGTAGAGCACTAGCACCTGGGTGCAACCTCCCGCACCACCAAAAACAAGTGTCGTCCAAAACTGAATAACACCAGAAAGCCTGGCCTCGCACGGAGCATAACCGGAAGGTAAAAAAGAATCACTTCCGCCAGGCATAGAAAGTTCCGAGCAGCCCTTGCAGGAGTGGCAGGGGCTGGACCTCTTAAAGTCAGAGAGTAACCCGTCCTACTTTTCCCAGGATTGAGGGATTTCCAGGGCACGAGGCTTTCAGTAGTAAAACTATGAGTCACAGGCTAGCCAGGATGGCTGGCCGCCCAGGATGGGAGTTTGGGCCTTTTCAAAAAAAAAAGCAATACTAGGGATTGAATCCAGGCCATTTGCACAGGGCTACATCCCCAGTCCGTCTTTTATTTCTTGACACAGAACAGAGGAAGCAGGGAGGTGGGCTGGAGGTGCAGAGAGGGGATCCAGAACCACCTCCGCTTGTGCCTGGCCCTACAGTCAAAGTCCATAGCTCCTGCCACCCCCTGCTGTACTCAATGGGGATGACCAGGTCTTCCAACATTACGGGCTGTGTTCCCTGATGCCAGGAAACACCCCCATGTATGCTGCGGCTCTAACGCCCAGTACCTCAGAATAGAGCCTTTTTTGGAAATAGGGTCATTAGAGATGAAATTAGTTAATGAGGCCACAGTAGAGGAGAGTGAGCCCCTCCTCCAATATGACTGATGTCCCCACGAGATGGCCTTATGGCTGTGCATGGTAGCACATGTCTGTAATCCCACCTCCTCCGGAGCTCAAGGCCCTCCCGGGCAATTTAGAGGGCAAGACCCTGTCTCAAAATACAATAATAGCCAGGCATGGTGACACACACCTGCAAACCCAGCAGGCAAGAGACTGAGGTAGAAGGACCACTGAGAATGTGAAGCCAGCCTGAACAACATAGTAAGACCTTGTCCCCTGCCCCCAAAAGAAAAATGAAATAATAAAAGGGGCTGAGGCTATAGCTGCACAGTAGAATGTCCTTGTGCGCAATCCTCAGTACCTTAAAGGAGGAGGAGCTGATGTGGACAGGAACACATAAGAAGGCCCTGTGGCCACACAGGCAGAGACTTAAGGGCCATAGCCACAAGCCAAGGGTCACCAAGGACAGCAAATAGCCACTGGAAGTTGGAGAGAGGCGAGGAAGGACCCTGAAAGCAACAAGTCTCAGCCTTTCGGTCCTCTCCTGCGTGACAGCTGATCGGGGCTCAGTAATAAATGGCTTTCAAAAAAAAAACAAAAAACAAGTCTCAAGCAACAAGTACAGCCTGGCTGTGCCTTATTTCAGATCTGTGGTCCCCAGAGCATTGGGTTGCTAAACCTCTGTTTCTCTGAGACACCCAATTTGTGGCTCTGCTCTGGAAGTCCCTGGCAACTCTATGCCAGGAGCAGGACACCCTGCTGTCCATAGGGCATGTGGCAGTGGGCGGGGTCTGCAGACAGTGGCATGGGCATCCTTAGGGGGTTTCCAGAAAGGCACCCTGGGGTGGGGACAGGGCTCCTGTGGCACTGCTGTTTGGTGGGAAGGGCAGGGATGCCCTCTGCTCCTGTTCTCACGCAGGGCTGGGATGCTGATGGGTCAGAAACCGCTCAAGCTGGCATTTGGGTGGCAGGTGAAGACAGCCCAGATCTTGTCATCTTCGGATCTGGGCTGGGCAACCAGATCCCAGGGTGACTAGGAGACTCCCTGGAATCAACTGCAGCCCAGGAGACAAGGCTAGAGCGTGGTGTGCCATCGTGGCCAGAGGAGTGGAGACAGAAAGGGCTCCTGGGCTCCAGCTTGCCCCTCTGCTACGCCCTGCAGACGGCACTGCTCTCCAGCAGGGTGAGGCCACAGGCGCAGGGGCAGAGGAGCCGATGGGCTGGCTGGGGACAGCCTGCGCTGGTCCTTATGGGTGGCCTGGCTTCTTCCACACCTGAGTCCTCGTGCTCAGTAAATTGTGCAGAGCCCAGGGAGGTCCTAACCCAGGGCTCCTGGCCCTCTACCCCCACGCCACACCTGGCGTCATTCCGGGTGAACAATTATCTGGATCATCTTTATAGGGCTTAAGCTTGGGTGGGAGCAGATGGGGCATGAGCTGAGGATTTGGGGTGGGAGTAGGTATCCGCTCCCCCCACATGCGGGCTGGTTAAAAGGCCCTTGCTTGTGAGGGCTGGGGCAGAAGCCATCAGGGAAGTGGAAGGATACCAGGGGAGGGACAATGATGGAACAGGACAAGAAGGGACAGGACGGGGGCTTGTCCCCCCTGGGCAAGGTAAGCGGGCCCTGCCTCTACCCACCCTCAGCTTCTGGAGCTCTCAGAGCCCAAGACTGACAGGACTAGTTAATTTGTAGGGCACCTAATTAGCGAGTGAGTCTCTGGGGTCCTCTGACCCAGTTGCTACTGCAGGGAGGTGCCAGTGGGCAGAGGGTCTGTGTGCCCAGCCCCTGCCCCAGGGCACAGGGCAAGGCTCCAGGAGCCAAGCTCAGGAGGTGGCAGATGCAGCACTTAGAGGTAGTTCTGAGCCCAGATCCCTTGGTCTGTGTCCCAGCCCCCAGGCTCCCCCTAGTCAGGCCCCACTCGAGGACAGTGGGACACTGGCGCATGCAGACTGTCCCCTGAGGTGGCACCACGTGAAGCAGTGCTGCCGGCCAGAGCCCCTGGGGCTGGGGTCCGGGACTGGGAAGGAGACCCAGGGCTCATTCTGAAGCAGCTCTGCAGAGCGGTGCATCCAGGAGGATCATGGTGAGATGAGGGGGCCGGAGCGCAGCCTGAGGGCAAGGGTGGGAGCCCACTGCTGGGGAGGGCAGGGCTGGGCCCCCAAACAGACCAAGTATGCCCCTCGGCAGGCGGGCTCCCCAGACCAGGAGGGCTTCTTCAACCTGCTGAGCCATGTGCAGGGTGACCGGATGGAGGAGCAGCGCTGTTCGCTGCAGGCTGGTCCGGGACAGACTGCTGAGAGCCGTGAGCCTGGGCATGGAGGTGGTTGGGAGGTGGGGTGAATGGGACGGAGCCCAGGGGTACTCAGGGGGTACAGGGCAGGGAGCACAGGGCAGGAAGATGACTGTGCCTGCATGTCTCCGCTCCACGCAGAGGCGAGCCCAGCGCCCGAGATGGACAATCTCATGGACATGCTGGCCAGCACCCAGGGCCGCCGCATGGACGACCAGCGCGTGACGATCAGCGCCCTGCCTGGCTTCCAGCCCATTGGCCCCAAGGTAGGAGTCCGCGCTGCACTCCAGGATTCTTCCGTTCCAGGACTCTTCTGTTCTCAGCCGGGAGTGAGCAGCCCCCAACTTCCCCTCCGACCATCATTTTCTGCTGTGTAGGTCTCAGAGCTATATAGGACTCGTGGGTCCTGCTCCCTCATCAGAGGGTGTAGGGGAGGTCAAAGGGGGGATATGGGCCCCCTTCCTGGAGTGGCACGCCCAAGGAGGAGGCCATGCAGCACCCTTCACAGGCTGAGCACAGCCACGCTCCACCAACCCGCACACAGCCTGGGTTCTCACCAGCCCCAGGAGAGAGCCTCAGGACCCGCCACCTCACTCCCAAACTCTACCCTAATAGCAGATAATCACGGTAAACACAGACTACTTTATGGGGAGGTGGAGGGTAGGCACATGCCAGGAGCTGGGGTGTGGGTTCCCGCACTGCTCCGGGTCTCTCCATCCCACTAACCAACCCCTCTTCATCCACAGGACGGAGTGCAGAAGCGTGCTGGGACACTCAGCCCTCAGCCCCTGCTCACCCCCCAGGACCCTGCTTCACTCAGCTTCCGCAGGAACAGCAGCCCCCAGCCCCAGACGCAGGCCCCCTGAGGGTCCCAACCGTCCTGGGCCCCGTCGGGCCCCCGAGAGCAGACAATAAAACACTTGCCCGAACAACAAGGAACCGAGTCTGTGTTATGTGGTGGGCAGGGGGACTGGGATTAAAACGTTTGGCCATCTCAGGGGCTCTGCTGGGCAGCACGAAGCAGTTTCTCCTCCCGCCGTTTCCGCATCCTCTCTTTGAACTCTTCTAGCTCTTGGTGCTAGGGCGGGGGAGGGGGTGGAACAGGACGGAAGGTGGGGCACATACCCGGGGGCCTTGTCCCTCTGCCGCCAACCTGCCCTTGGTTTCCAAGGTCAGGGTCTACCCTGGGAGCCCCATGCCACTGACAACCAGGGTCCGAGTGGAGCAACTTGATCCTTCATGGAGAAGGCAACAGGGAACCCATACGCCCTTCTCTGCTCAGTTCCCTGCCCGTAGTTGAGGGGATAACTTTCATTAGACCCCCATCATGGCCACAGGGACTTAACACCCTTTGTCCGTCCCTCTGGTAATAGAAAAAATAGATTCTTACCTGGCCCTCTTTCTCAGGTGGCCATATCTCCCTCTGTGGGGACAAAGACACAACTGGTGGCATGAGCCAGGAACCGCCGGCACCCTGTACCCAGGGCAGGTATGGGGTGGCAAACAATGGTTCCCAGCAGGCTGATGCTCCACCTTCCCCTGCCCCTAACATGAACCCACGATCACTGTTCTCATGCCCACCTTGCGCTGTACGACATAACTCTCAAACCACTCGGCCTGATTGGAGATCCAGAACATGGCCACAGGGAAAGTGAGATACACAACCATCTGCGAAACCAGTAGGGACATGAGGAAAGCCTGGTTCTGCCACCAGCACTGAGAGGCTGCTGAGAGCCCACAGGACCTCCTCCCTCCAAAACCAGAACTCCCTCCTGCTCTTCCAAGCCCCATAATCCTTTAAGCCCATGTGGACATCCAAGACACTCACACGGGCGCGCGGACCCAGGGGCACAGGAGCAGCTAGGAGGCAGCTCCCTAACTTCGTTACCACTGCCACCTCGACCTCCTGCCTTCAGATCCGGGAGCACCCCCGCCCCCACCCCGAGACCACATTCTTCAAATCTCCCCTGATTCTTGCAGTCTCCCCACCAAAGACATACCCACCCACTCTGCGCCCCAGGGCTCCCCAGGACCTCAGCGCCTTCATTCAGCCCTCTCCTTAATTCACACCTCCCTGACGCCCTGACAGACTGGCCCTCTTAGATACCCCAAACACAGACCCTCCACTCGGACCTCCCACAACCTAGAGCTCTCTCCGCTGGGTTTCTAGTACAGGTCTCTCAAGCGCTTGCTCTCCAGGGAGCTCTCCGTTTGTATTCACTCCTTTTCATTGCCTCAGCCTTACATCCAAGCTGTCCAGCGCAGCCTCCCAACCCTCCCCTGTGCTCACTGACCCGAAACACCTCCAGCTTCACCCCCATCTCGCTTCTCTTAGCCTACAGAGAGAGACACTTCCGCCCAAAGTCGACCCTCCAACAAGACATAAACTCATTGGTCCTTCGCGTGTACACCATTGCTGAATCTGATTGGTTGAGAAACTTCATGATGACGCCATCTCAAGGCGCCTCTTCTGGTTCTGGTCGCTGGCGTCGTCCACCTGAAAGTCAATGGAACTCGTCGCACTGTCGAGATAATATAGCCAATAGAAAACGGGCCTCTCGCGGAGGGGCGGGCCTGGGGTGTAAACGTCATAAGTAAGCGACGATTGCCTGTACCCGGAGGACCACGAAAATGGTGGTGATGGCGCGCCTTTCGCGGCCTGAGCGGCCGGACCTGGTCTTTGTGAGTCCGCAGTGGGGCCGGCGATGGCCTGCGTTAGGGCATCGAGAGACCTGGGTGCTGTGGACGATCGGACTGTGGTGGCCGAGGGATGTAGGCCGGAACTCTGCCATCCCAACTCTGAGGGCCCTGAAGGCCCAGGGATCGGGAGATGATGTTCACACCGGAATGACTAGGAATAAAGATCTGGTCTCGGAAGTGGTGGCCGGAGTAAAAAGGTGTTGTCGAGGTTGCGGGGGTGATGTCTCGTCCCTGGACGGAGGCTGGGGAATGGGTGCGAAAGGAAGTGACATAACTGGATCTTGCCAGATAAACAACTGGTGTTGGAAGCGAAGGCATACTGACCAGGTTACGACTCTGGTTTGTGAGATAGAGGCTTGGTTTTTCGCCCAGCTGCCTAGGTCTGATTCAGAGCATTACGGTTTCGGAGGTGAAGGCTTAGTGTCCTAGGCTGCGCCAGGAGTTTAGGAGGTAAAGAACCCAGGGGTGTGAGGAAAAGACCTAGTGAAGTGGAGTTTGTCAGACGATGGTCGGTATTCTCAAAAGAACTGAAGTGGAGGCCCGGTATTTTCATCAGATTCTTGGTGTGCAGGATTAAGGGCTCTGTGTCTGGTCTTTACTTGTGTCTAGGACAGTTGAGCTAGATTCTGACTAGTGATATTCCAAGAGGCCAGCAGTTTGGTGTCTGGACCTAAGTGTCACCTGGGCCAGGGGAGAAGATGGGTCAGGCAGTGACAGTGGGAGCCTGAGGGACCCAAGACGTGATATGTCGTGAGGAAGTAGGGCCCTGGTGTCGAAGGAGGCTGTTGATCAAACCCTGAGAGTGGATGGAGGACTTTGGAAGGCCAGTGCCTGATGTCTGATCATTGGTCTCGTGATCTGACTTAGCTTTCCAAAGACTGGGAAGTCTGACTGTCTTGAGTCAGATTCTGGGAAGGTGAATTACAGTTGCAAAGGCCTGAACCAACATCCCAGTCTCTGGTTGCCTGGTGACCCAGCTTCCACAGTGAGCAGTGTGGTCCAGGCTGGGACAGCAAGTCTGGAAATTAGGCCTGGACTCCAGGAATGGGGTAGGCTGAGGCTCTGAGGGTGTGTCTCCATTCTCCTTGTCCCTCGGTCCTGGCAGGAGGAAGAGGACCTTCCTTATGAAGAGGAAATCATGCGGAACCAGTTCTCCGTTAAATGCTGGCTCCGCTACATTGAGTTCAAACAGGGGGCTCCGAAGCCCAGGCTCAATCAGCTGTACGAGCGGGCGCTCAAGCTGCTGCCGTGTAGGTGTGTGTCCATCTGGCTCTCTGCCCTGCCCAGTTGCAGTCACTAGAGAGTAGACGCTGTGCAACCGCTGTGCATTGTCGCCCGATGGGCTACCCTCCATTCCTGGTGTCCTAGTCCTTTCCCTTGTACTTTCTTGACCCTTGTACCTCCTCAGTCCCTTTCTCCTCACAATTACCTCCTGGGGCAGGGAGCAAGGTTCTGGGGACTCTGTAACCTCAGTTCTGTCTCCTGCCTCCTTTTACACCTCAGTTACAAACTCTGGTACCGCTACCTCAAAGCGCGCCGGGCGCAGGTGAAGCATCGCTGTGTGACTGACCCCGCATATGAAGATGTCAACAACTGTCATGAGAGAGCCTTCGTGTTCATGCACAAGGTGAGGGGTGGGACTGTGGCCCCAGAGTCCACAGTGGTGCGCAAAGCAGGAGCTGGGCTCCACACAGGAGGGAGGGAGGACCAGCGTCCTCTTGCTGCTGGGTGCTGGCTGTGGGGTGGACTCAGTCCCAGAACTGGGAGATGGTGCATTTGTGTCCCTGCGCATCTCAGCCATAAGACACCCGGTGTCAGTGGCCAGCTGTGGGGCATGTGGCTCAGACCTGGCTCTCTCTCACCACACTTCTAGATGCCCCGGCTGTGGCTGGATTATTGCCAGTTCCTGATGGACCAAGGACGTGTCACCCACACTCGCCGCACCTTTGACCGGGCCCTCCGGGCACTGCCTATCACGCAGCACTCTCGAATCTGGCCCCTGTACCTGCGCTTCCTGCGTTCCCACCCGCTGCCTGAGACAGCTGTACGAGGCTACCGGCGCTTCCTCAAGGTGCATCCATTGGGGGTGTGCCCCAGCTTAGAGCCTTCCATCCCTGGCACACTGGGACACAAGCCCCATCCATGCAGTGTCACCTGATAGGGTGCAGAAGAGGGTTCCCGCAGGCATGTAGATTTGGCTTAGGATCAGTTCCTCTGTTTCTCGCCTAGTGGACTAACACTTGCTTCACATGCGCTGTGGGCTGAGATGGGTGCTGGGGTCATTGTGAATCGGGGTCACATGAGCCACCGCCACAGTGATATAATGGACAGAGCAAAGGGAACGTGCAGGCAGCAGGTTGGGCATGCAGCTGCACTGGGCTGGGCGCGCCCCTGCGGGCTCACATCATCCGCTCTGTATGGGGGGATCCTCAGCAGGTGCCCTTCACATGCGGCCTGGGATGGAATTGAGGCCTGCAGGCCTGGGGCTGGGGTGGGGCCAGGCTGGGTGGTGGCAGGAGGCCCAGTGTCACTGAGATAGGAGGGGAGGGGCTGGTGAGATGGCTCGGTGGTCTAAAGCACCTACTTAGAACAAGCTTAGCAAAGCACAGGGACCGCGGTTCGATCCCCCAGCACCACATGCCAGCCAGCCCCGCCCCCTGGTGGGCTGAGCTGGCCACACACACACACACACACACACACACACAAATAAATAAATAAATTTAAAAAAAAAAAAAAAAAAAAGAGAGATAGGAGGGGACATTGGCCCTGCAGCCCCACCCACCTCCAGTGGTGTTGCTGCGTCCCCAGCTGAGTCCTGAGAGTGCCGAGGAGTACATCGAGTACCTCAAGTCCAGTGACCGACTGGATGAGGCCGCACAGCGCCTGGCCACCGTGGTGAATGACGAGCGCTTTGTGTCCAAGGCTGGCAAGTCCAACTACCAGGTGAGCCTCAGGAGGTGGCGGCGGTGGGGCGCCTCCAGCAGGGCGCCTCCTCTAGCAGGGCGCCTCCCTGCGGGCCCCACCTGAGCCACCCTCACACCACCCCCCTCACCCCTGCAGCTGTGGCACGAGCTGTGTGACCTCATTTCCCAGAACCCGGACAAGGTGCAGTCCCTCAATGTGGACGCCATCATCCGCGGCGGCCTCACCCGCTTCACCGACCAGCTGGGCAAGCTCTGGTGCTCGCTGGCCGACTACTACATCCGCAGTGGCCACTTCGAGAAGGTGTGCCCTCCAGCACCCGGGAACGCCTCCCTCGTGTGGGTGGCTGGGACACATGTACAGCCTCAGCCTGTGTGATGCACACACGCACCACCCTGACGGCGAGGGCACGCTCACCTCGGGAAGCCAGACCTGGTTCTGGGTGTGGCCCCAGCCCCCCACCCTGGCTGTGTCCACCAGGAAGCAGCAGTGGCTGCCCTGTCCTGTGTGAGGGCTTGGCACAGTGGTGTAGCAGAAGGGGAGCCGGGATAGCTGGGTGTGGCTTTGCTTCTTGGAGCAGGGTAGTGGGCAGGGCCTTGGAAGTCCCTAAAGGCTGACTGGGCCCACTGCAGCCTCCAGAAAGGTGGGAGCAGGGCAGGGGAGCAGTTGGGGACAGAGGCCAGGCAGGACCTGGAAGGGATGGATGAGGCTGTGCCCCTGGTTGCTGGGATGATAGGAGCTGCTGAAGGGTCGAGTGAGCTTTGGAGCGAAGATGGAGCCCTCCAGGAGCAGGCCAAGTCCAGGGGTTCCACAGGGCAGAACACATGGTCACTGGTCGCCTCCCGAGTCTTAGAGGGTGCCAAGTGCCTTTGTGATGTGGGTATCTTTGTTGGATTCTGAGGTCCTTTTGCACAAAGGCTGTCCCTTATGGGTGATCAGGGAGGCCTGAGGCTCCCAGGATTAGCGTGGCAGCACCGAGCTCCTCCCCACAGTATTGGGGTCGCTGCTCGGAGCCTGCCAGTACTGGGGGGTGCCCTGCAGAGGCCCTAAGGGACTCTGGCTCGGGAGGGGGCCGAGAGGCCTGTTGTGCACCCTGCTTCCCTGGGCCTGGGCTCGCAGCCTTTCCTTGGCCTTCCCTTATCGTTTCCCTCATGGTGCCGCCCCCACAGGCCCGGGATGTGTATGAGGAGGCCATCCGCACGGTGATGACCGTCCGGGACTTCACGCAGGTGTTCGATAGCTATGCCCAGTTTGAAGAGAGCATGATCGCGGCCAAGATGGAGACTGCCTCGGAGCTGGGGCGTGAGGAGGACGGTGAGGGGCTGGCAGGGCCTGCAGCACCTGCGACTGGGGCCAGCGCGACAGACTGGGAGGGAGCAGCCGCACAGGGCAGAGGCGGCCACATGGCCTGGCCAGTGCCCACCCCGCCAGCCCTCACAAGTGTGTCCTTGGCCCCCAGACGATGTGGACCTGGAGCTGCGCCTGGCCCGCTTCGAGCAGCTCATTAGCCGGCGGCCCCTGCTCCTCAACAGCGTCCTGCTGCGCCAGAACCCGCACCATGTGCACGAGTGGCACAAGCGTGTGGCCCTGCACCAGGGCCGCCCCCGAGAGGTATGTGATGGGCGCCCCGGCCTCGCCACCGCCCTACGCAGGGCCTTGGCCTCCCTGCCTGACCTGCAGCCTCCCCCAGATCATCAACACCTACACAGAGGCTGTGCAGACTGTGGACCCCTTCAAGGCCACCGGCAAGCCCCACACGCTTTGGGTGGCCTTCGCCAAGTTTTATGAGGACAATGGGCAGCTGGATGACGTGAGTGCCATGCTAGTGTGTGTGTGTGTCAGTCACACAGTTGCTTATGTGTGTGTGACACCCAGTTTGTGTGTGTGTATGTACGTGTGATACACAGCTGCTTTTGTGTGTGTGTGTGACACCCAGTTGCTTGAGTATGTGCGTATGAGTGTGTGGGCGTATACGTGTGACACACAGTTGCTAGTGTGTATGTGCCCAGTGCGGGGCAGCCAGCCGCAGGGTCCCAGCCTGGCCCCTGCCGCCCCTGCAGGCCCGTGTCATCCTGGAGAAGGCCACCAAGGTGAACTTCAAGCAGGTAGACGACCTGGCGAGTGTGTGGTGTCAGTGCGGAGAGCTGGAGCTGCGGCACGAGAACTACGATGAGGCCCTGCGGCTGTTGCGGGTGAGAGCCGGCCCAGGGCCGTGCGGGAGTGGCAGGGCCCACAGCGCAGTGTGGAGGACCAGCCCTGAGCGCCTCCCCATGCCCTGCAGAAGGCCACCGCGCTGCCCGCCCGCCGTGCCGAGTACTTTGACGGCTCAGAGCCCGTGCAGAACCGCGTGTACAAGTCGCTCAAGGTGTGGTCCATGCTTGCCGACCTGGAGGAGAGCCTGGGCACCTTTCAGGTTAGCTGCCGTCCTCGGGGAGGCACAGGCTTGCAGCCAGCCCAGATGCACCTCAGTCCGCTCCATCCCTGTCCTGCAGTCCACGAAGGCCGTGTACGACCGCATCCTGGACCTGCGCATCGCCACACCCCAGATCGTCATCAACTATGCCATGTTCCTAGAGGAGCACAAGTACTTCGAGGAGAGCTTCAAGGTGGGGCAGGCGAGCAGACGCCAGGGCCAGGGTGCATAGGCAGAGCTGCTGGGGCTGTGGCTTGCCACGTCCACCTGCCACATGACCCACGGGTTGTAGTTGTGTGCAGCTCTCACGTGGCCGTGTATGAGGCCCTGGCCCTCCCTGTCTTTGGGTTGGGGCTGGTGCAGTCTGAGAGGGACAGGCAGGGACCCGACCTCCACCTTGGGGCAGGGAGGGTAACAGGGAGAGCTGTCTGCTGCCCTTGGGAGGCCTGGTAGGTGTCCCATAGGCGTTGGCCGAGGGCATCCCAGTGCCAGTGGTCACGCCGCACACACTCACACACGGTCCCTGGCACAGGCGTATGAGCGCGGCATCTCGCTGTTCAAGTGGCCCAATGTGTCTGACATCTGGAGCACCTACCTGACCAAGTTCATCGCTCGCTACGGAGGCCGCAAGCTGGAGCGCGCGCGGGACCTCTTTGAGCAGGCGCTGGATGGCTGCCCGCCCAAATACGCCAAAAGTGAGGAGAGAGCGAGAGGGTCGCTCCCCAGGCCTGGGGCAGCAGGAGGGTGGGGAGGCTGACCTTCCAGTGACCGCTCTGCTCCCCGCAAGCAGCCCTGTACCTGCTGTATGCACAGCTGGAGGAAGAGTGGGGCCTGGCCCGGCACGCCATGGCGGTGTACGACCGTGCCACCAGGGCTGTGGAGCCCGCCCAGCAGTATGACATGTTCAACATCTACATCAAGCGGGCCGCGGAGATCTACGGCGTGACCCACACACGGGGCATCTACCAGAAGGCCATCGAGGTGCCCCCCACAAGGGGCCAGGAGGCGGCGTGGGCCACCCAGGGCTGGTGACCTCGTGGGGACCTTCCAGCTGCCCCTGAGTCACACACCACCCCCTCCCCTGCCCCCAGGTGCTGTCTGATGAGCATGCGCGTGAGATGTGCCTGCGCTTCGCGGACATGGAGTGCAAGCTGGGCGAGATCGACCGCGCCCGGGCCATCTACAGCTTCTGCTCCCAGATCTGCGACCCGCGGGTGGGACTGGGCCCAGGTGGGCGGGCGTGGGGTGCAGGTGCGGGTGCGTCTGGCTACTCATGCTTGTCTCGCCCCTGCAGACCACCGGGACGTTCTGGCAGACGTGGAAGGACTTCGAGGTGCGGCACGGCAATGAGGACACCATCCGGGAGATGCTGCGCATCCGCCGCAGCGTGCAGGCCACCTACAACACGCAGGTCAACTTCATGGCCTCACAGATGCTCAAGGTGTCGGGCAGCGCCACGGGTACCGGTGAGCAGCAGCCGGCTGGGGCCCCAGGACAGTGTGGCCCCCTGCACCCAGCCCTGACCTGCCGCTGGTCAAGCCTGCGGTGTAGGGTGTCACCTGAAGTGCTGGAGAGGGGCTGCCTGCGGTGTGTGACCTTCCTGTCCCCTCAGTGTCCGACCTGGCCCCAGGGCAGAGCGGCATGGATGACATGAAGCTGCTGGAGCAGCGGGCAGAGCAGCTAGCGGCTGAGGCTGAGCGGGATCAGCCTTCACGGGCCCAGAGCAAGATCCTGTTTGTGAGGTAAGGCCTGGGCAGGAGGGACGATGGCTGTCCCTGAGGGCAGGGGGAGGCTGGGGCCACCCACTAGCCAGGCCACTGAAGCGGACTCCCCCACCCCCAGGAGCGATGCATCCCGGGAGGAGCTGGCAGAGCTCGCCCAGCAGGCCAACCCCGACGAGATCCAGCTCGGAGAGGATGAGGACGAGATGGATCTGGAGCCCAACGGTCAGTGGGGGCTTGGCGTCAGTGGGGAGTGGGTGGGGGGCGCGGCGGGGCACCTGGGCAGGAGTGACTCTGCTTTCCCCACAGAGGTCCGGCTAGAGCAGCAGAGCGTACCGGCTGCCGTGTTTGGGAGCCTGAAGGAGGACTGAGCCCCCCACCCCGCCCGCACCCCCACCCCGTAATAGAGCTGTTTTTGTATGTCACATCACTCTCTTGAGCCTGTTTTTGCTACCCAGGTGTCCCCAGTGCTGCTAGCTCAGGAGGGCCTGGCCCTGGGCCCTGATTGGCTGGTGCAGGGGGTGGGGCAGCTAGGCCAGGGCCAGGCAGACACCCATCACACACACATGGCGCTGGACACCATGCATCGTTGTCCAGTTGCCCCAGGTCCTGGAGCCAGTCCTGCGTAGAAGCTTCCTGGAAGCACCTGGCACCGCAGGTGTCCCAGCCCCTGCCCCGCAGAGCTTCCCACTCGGCAAGGTGCTCCTGTGCCTGGCAAGGGGCCAGGAGCCTGAGGCTGCCCAGGCGTAGCCCTCAGCCCTAAGCTTTGGGAAGCTCCTGCAAACTCTAAGCTATTAAGGGGTTTTAGGCATCAGGGGACATAATCAGATTTGCTCTTTAAGCGGGTCACACGGGCTGCCGTGTGGCTGGAGACAAGTGGAGGATGTGGACAGGCTGTCAGCATGGCCCAGGGAGGGGGCAGTCATGGGACCAGAGGGCTTTGGGCTGTGAGCTGCGCAGGATCGGGCAGCGTGGGGAAAGCAGTCTGGGTCCAGGCCAGAGCGGATTTTGCAACTAGATATCTGGTGGCAGCAACCGGAGCCTTGGGCATGGAGTTCCATTGATGGAAGCTCCAAACCCCGGGACAGGCACCAAAACTGAACCTAGAAACACAATCACACTGGCAGGGGAGCGCAAGCTCGAGTTAGAATCTGGCCCTGCGCCAAATGCCAGGGACGAGCTCGAGTGGGAGGTGCAGGGCTGAGAAGCGTCCCCAGGGAAGACCTTGGCGGCCACATCAGGCCATCGAGGGGCAGGGGACACCAACAACAGCTGCTTGGAAAGATGAGACCGAAACCCGGCCAGCCTCAGGGAGGTGACCCAGCTCCCCTGCTTTTTCAGTTATTTTATTCAAGAAGGTGGGGAGGACAGAAGAGGGGACCCAGCTGAGCTACGAGTCCCTGAACCTCCCAGCTCAGGCCCCAGCAGGACCAGGTTCAGAGTTGGGGTGGGGGCTCCAGCCCCTCCCTCCCCCACGAGACTGAGACGGACGGACGGACGGACTCCTCCAGGAGGACGCTGACCCCGGAGGGTTACTTAGGGGTGCCGCCCCCCTTCTTGGGAGTGGTGGGCTTCTTGCTCTGCCAGAGGTGACCCTGGATCGTGAAGGCGTCCACGCTCATGGACATGGTCTTGGCCGGGATCTGGGTGAAGCGCTTGCGGTCTGAGTTGTACTTGTAGATGCCCTCAACCATGGCGGGCGTGACCGTGCGGGGCCCGTAGCCCGCCAGCCTCGACAGCTCCTCCGTCTCCCCCGACAGTGTGTAGAGTGCCCGGAACTGGCAGCTGGAGTCCCGGAAGAGGATCAGGAAGTGGTTGGCCTTGCTCTTGTCGATCTCCTAGGGGGTCGGGAGCAGCAGCCATGAGTCCCAGCCAGCCCCCTCCCATGCCCCCTCCTGCACCCCTTCCCTGGCACAGGCACACGCACCTCCAGGATGCGGTTCTTCTGCGTCTCGTTCACCTTGCCCGCTAGGCAGCAGTGCGACAGGGCGTTGTGGATGATGAACTTGTTGGACTTGGCACTGGGCTCCTTGTACAGCCGCGGACCTAGAGGGTGGGACAGTCAGCGGGGACCACCACGGGCCGGTGGAGCCCGCACCCATCGCACCGCCTGAGACACTGCTCACCCGTGTACTCGGGCACTGAGGCTGGGGAGGATGCATTGCTGCCATTCTCCCACTCACGCTCACGGGCACCCGGCAGCCGGCTCGGAGACATCAGGCCTGATGGTGACGGAGCCCTATAGCAGGGAAGCTTGGGGTCAGTGTGGGGGCAAGGCATTCTGGGATGTTCTGCCCAAGAGATGCACATGTACCCCTGATGTCTCCACAGGGCCACCCAATGGCTGTCACAGCCCCTCAGGGAGCCCAGCATGTCCCCTCCGGTGGCCCACAGGGCCCCAGGATTTTCTGCCTCTTCGGTGTTCCCATTGCCCACTCCTGTTCAGGCAGACACCCCACACGTGGCTGAGGCCAACAGCTTGGGACTCCTGCCCATCCTGGCAGCAGGGCTCACCGAGACGTGGACCTCTTCACACCAAGGTTATTGGGAGCCTCATTTGCCACGGTGGACAGGGACAGGGTGGACTGGGAGTAGACCTTGCTGAGCCTCGAGCCTGGGAAGGGACAGCTAGGTCAGGGTCCCTCGGACCTCGTCTCCATAGACACCCACAGGATGGGGTCAGCCACACCTGGACTACAGCCCACCGAGGCTGCCCTGCCACCGTGGGAAGGGGGCTGCACCAGAGAAAGGGGAGGCCTATCACCTGCGGCAGTACCCCACGGGCCTGCAGAAGCCCGCAGACCTCGGCTGCCACAGACCCTACCACCCAAATTGCTGTGGCCTGCAACTCACCCCACCACCCTACCGGGGCCTCCCCGAGCCACCCCCGCCCCGGTCCTCACCCAGCAGGCCGCGAGCTGGGTTTCGTGCCAGGGCCGAGTCGTCACAGCAGCCAGAGCGCGGCCGGGGGGCCCTCCGCCCGCCCCGACCCGGCCCCCCGGCCCCCGCGGCCCGGGGCCGCAGCACCTTCTCCAAGTCGTCCATCAACTTCAGCTGGGCGCGGCGCTCATACTCAAGCCGTGTGAATTCCCCTCGCCGGGGGCCCACCTCCTCCTCAGCTGGGACCCGCGCGGCTGGGGCTGGGGCCACCGCTGCAGCTGCCACCACGGGGGCCGTGGGGGCCGACACAGGAGCTGCAGGGGCTGCACAGGCCCCCTCGTGCGCCAGCCTGCGGGTCAGAGCGAGCAGTCAGAACGAGCAGACGCCAGGACGGAGACCAAGGCTGGGCGCAGGGGCCAGCCGCACCTCCCAGCCTCCTCTCTCCGCTGCTCGCGCTCGGCCTCCTGCCACTGCTTGCGCTTCCGCGCCTCCTCTGCACGCCGCTGCTGCCGCTCCAGCAGACTGGCCCGCTTCTGGGCCATCTCGTCCTCGGGCTTGTCTTCATCCTGGGGGAGAGGCAGGTCCAGGGGCTGCTCTTCCCGCCCAGCCAGCCACCCGCTTCTTTTTCTATGTATTCAGTTTTCACGTGTTCAGCTGGTGCACGCTGCATGCACCCCAGTGTCGGGCAATCAGACTGAACAGTGGGAAGAACGTGGGCGGGGCTGCGCTTGGGGGCCTCACCCATCCCACCCTGCCCTGGAAGGGTGCTGGGCCTGACCCACCACCCCTGCCGGGCCCTTCTGAAGAGTGATGAGAACCACTGTGGTAGGCAGAGACATGGGTGAGAGTACTCCAGGAAGTGGGACCCGCAAGTGCAAAGGTCCCGAGGTCAGAACCAACTCAGCAGAGGGAGAACGGGGCAAGAGAGGTCAGAGATGAGGCCAGCCCGATACAGAGGGCAAGGAGGACCAGCACAGCGCCTGGCGGTACAGGGGAAACGGCCCAGGGTTAGGGAGGCAGCAGGTCAGGCAACTATAGGTCCAAGTCCGGGTTTCCAGTGGGCCGCAGGGCCCGTGATCATGGAGAATGACCAAACATGGGCAGGGCCAAGAGGGAGAAAGCCATGACAAGAGGAGATGCCACAGATACCCCGGGCCTGTTTGTCCAGCCACCCACTCCCGCCATCTGCCCACCACCCACACCCATCCATCAACCGCTTTCCATCTGGCTATGCACCTACCTTTCCTCTGTCCCTCCATCCACCCCATTTATCTGTACATCTGGCCACCCATTCCTTTCTCTGGCCCAGTCATACCTGGCTACCCACTTCTCTATCACCCATCCGATCTATTATCCTCTCACCATTCATCTATCTGCCCATCCAATCTACCGACCCATCCACCTACCCACCTATCCATCTTCCCACCTCCCTATCCACTCACACTCACCCATCTTCTACCTAACCACCCACCTTCTGCCCATCTACCCACCTATTCATCCATCCACCTCCCTTATATCCAACTATTCAATCCCCCTATTAGTCCATCTGCCCATCCAACCCATCTATCTACTCACCTGGCCAACCATCCACACCTACTATCCTCTGTCCACCCACCCACTTGTCCATCAGGAAGGCCCCAGTCATCTGGCCATTCATCTATGCACCTCTGCTCCTCAGCCCACCCCCAGGACGTCCCTACTTCCTGGTCACCCACTTGTCCTATCCCCCTGCTCACAAGACCTACCTTGTAGAAGAATCCAAGGCCAGTCCGGGGCTCTCCCTCGGAAGATGCCTCCTCCTCTAGGGAATCCTCAGCCCCAGGCGGGCTTCCATCTCCATCTTCCTCTGCAGCAGGCTCCCCCAGGCTGGCCAGAGGGATCTCAATGAGGCCAGGCCGGGCTGCAGGCTCCTCGCGTGGCACATCCTCCGCCAGGAGGATGGAGGAGCGAGTCTGTACAGGCACCTGGCTTGGCGAGAACTTGCGCAGGTGGGGCAGACTGTCTACGTCGTTGGGGGGCGTGAGCACTCTGGTCAGGGGCGTCAGCCGCAACTCTGCTGGACGTGCATGTTTTGGGCTTCGAGATGTCGGGTTGGGACCGGGCCCTGGGCTACGCCGGGTGGCTGGGGCTCGCCGGGCAGGGCTGGGGGATGCAGCTTTGGGCCCAGTCGTGGGCCCAGGGATGACCCAGGCAGCAGGTGGTGGGGCAGGTCCGGGGGCCTCCGGCGGGGCCAGAAGGCGCTGCTGCTGGTCCGTGAGCCTCTGCATGTCCCGCTGCAGCGAGCTCAAGGCAGCGCTCAGCTTGTTGACCGCTCGGTTGTAGTCCCCCAGCCCCTCGGGGGGCTCCGGGCCCAGCTCAGCAGAGAAGGTCACTGACTTGGTCCGTGAGGACGGCTCTCCCTGGCCCTCGCCTGCCGGCCGCTCCCCTCCAGTGGGCTCCACCTCTGCCTCCGCCTCCTCGGTGGCCTCTCGAGGCTGCACCTGTAGGAAGGCACTCTTGCCCAGCCGCTGGCGGTGTTTGGCAAAAATGGCTTCAATACGACGCTTCTGAGCCTCTATGGCCCGACGTTTCTCCTCTAACCTAGCTCCCAGCTCACTCATCTCTGAGCTCAGGGCCTCAGGTGCGACCGGAGCAGACGTGGGGGGCCCCACTCCAACCTCCTCAGCCTTCACCAGCTGTTTCTTACGCTCCGCAAAACTGGTCATCTTCACTTCAGCATTGGTGGCTGCGGGGGACAAAGCCCCTGCCTTCGGAGACCCCTCAGCTGAGGCTGGTGGCTTCAATATCTCTCTTGCTGGGCAAGGAGAGGGTTTTGAGGGGGCTTCAGGGTGAGACACATAAACAGGTGCTTTGGGGAGACCTTCAGACAGCAGTTTTGAGGCCCCCATGGGTGGGTAGGAGGAGGACAGCGGTGGTTTCGAGAGGCCCTCGGGGGAATGGAGGTAGAAACTGCCATCTGCGGCACCATCCGGGAGCAGCCGGGGCTCAGCGCTGTGGATGATCTGCAAGGCCTCCTCAATGGTGGGCAGATCACCGGGCTCCGGGGTGGGCTGGGCAGGGGTCCGAGCTGCTGGCACAGGACGCGGGGGGCCCAGGCTGTCCGAACTCACAGAGCGCAGCAGGACAGGGTCTCCCATGACGACATCCACGTCGCTGTCCAGGCCAAAGGGGGTGCTGAACGACACGGCCTGGGAGAGGGGACGGCTGGGCGGCCAGAGGGACGGGTCAGCCCCTGGGAGCAGCCTGCATTCCACCCGCCCAGCCAGCCTGCCCTCTGCCCACAGTGTGGGGCCACACGTGTGCTCACCTGAGCTGCCGGTTCCAGGCCTTGCCGAGGGCCTCCATGTGGGACATGGATGGAGAGGACTTCAGGGAGCCTAAGGAGGGTCGGGGGGTCACGATGGGGTCCCTGGGGACCCTGGCTAGGCTAAGGCTGCTCTGCAAGGCCACCGTGTGCCCAAGAGTCCTTCAATATCTAGCAGACCTGAGGTTTCCAGAAATGGGCACTGAGGGATGTCAACCAGGGAGTCACCCTGGGGTCACATTGGGGCTCCAGATAGACCCAAGGGAAGCCCACCAGAGGGGACCTGGGGAGCAGGCTGGGTGGGGATCCCCCACGACAAGACACCTCTACTCCTCACCTGTTGATCCCCGAAGTGGGGACTGAGAGCCGCCAGGTGACAGGAGAGGATGTCGGAAGTTGAAGACAGGAGAACTGGCAAGAGATGTACTTTAACCTTGGGACCCACCAATACCCTTGCCAGAACCCCTGCGAAGGAGTCCTCCATACCTGCTACCGCTGTTGTTCTGGGACGGGGAGGCCTCAATGCCCCACGGGGAGGTGGCTGCGGCACAGAGCAGAGGGTCAGGCAGGGCGTGGCCTCCCAGCCCCCACCTGGACCCTGGCCTCAGGACCCCAGGCTCACCGTGACCGTCGGGTAAGTCCTTGGCCTGCACGAAATCCGGTTTCAGCACCTCGAAGCACGTGAACATTTCGGCGAGCAGCACCACCAGGTTGACCTGGAGGTGGGACTGAGGATGAGCACCCAGCAACAGCTCTGGACGCCCAGGTCAGCAGCCCAGCCCCCAAGCTGCCTTACCTTGAGGGGTGGGGGGACGTAAAGCAGGTCCTCGAGGGACAGCGGGCAGCCACGGGGCAGGCGGGAGGCACAGAAATCCTGCACCAGCTGGAGGTTGTAGAGGCTGTCGGCCACGGACATGGGGTCCTTGAGACAGACCTCTGCAGGGAAAGGAGGCCTGGGTACCCACTCTGTGCAAAGGACCAGGTCCCCTGCCACCAATGGAGGATCGAGTATAGGCCAGGGGCTCTTTGCAAGGCCCACACTATGACAGACAGTGCCTCGGCCCCCAGGAACTCAAACAGGGCTGAGCAGTGAGGCATGCCTGGAACCTCAGCACCTGGGAGGACTGCTTGGCGTTCAAGGTCAGCCTGGGCCACAGAGTGAGTTCAAAGCCACCACAAGCTACATAGCTACATTGTCTTAAGCAGAGAAAGAGAGAGAGAGAGAGAGAGAGAGAGAGAGAGAGAGAGAGAGAGAGAGAGAG